GGAGGAGATCATTCCCGGAAGAAGAAAAAAAAGAATATATTGGAAGGAAGAAATGTAGAGGTGGAAGTTGGGGGCGGCGACGCAGTCGAAACGTGGAGGAGGGGGCACAAGCGGATGGCCAGGGAAAAGTCGAAAACACCGCTCGTCCAGCCGGCCCGCCAGATAAATATGGCCCCCATCGATTGGTCGCGACAGTTATCAAGAAAAATGAAAAAAGAAATCCAAAAGTGTAATGTATATAGAAAAGATGAAAAATGTTAAGAACAAACAATCAAAAAAGAAGACCAGAAAAGCAGATGAAATACGATTTCAATTCCTGGCTGCTGCTCCGGTGTTTTGTATATATCTTATTTTATTATTATTAATATTATTATTTATTTTCTCCCTCGTCTGACGCTACCCATCTTTTATTCGTTTTGCACTTTTTTTTTTCTTTTTTTCTTAATGGTTTGGAGTTTGACTTCGTAATTTCACATCTCTGGCGTTTGTTTACCCTGCCTGCGGCGAACCATAACTTCTCGAAAAAGATAAGTTTTGAAGCTCGGAAACTTTACGAAGGAACGTAAACAAACGGGACATACGCCAGGAACGTCGAACGGGCTAAATTACGTTTTCTCGGCGGCCGGCATTAAGCATCCTTCACGCCTTCGCAGGCAGGCACCGACGCACGTAATCAAGCTGCGCATTGACGACGCGGATCGATATCGAGCGATCACACCACGTGTGGCATCGTTTTTCTTTTTTTTTTCGGGGGGGGGGGGGGGGGGGGGGGACGCACGTACTCTTCTAAGACTGTTCATCATATACACGTACAGATGCGGACGATAGGAAAAAGTCCAGGTTATAGCGCGTGGCTTAGGAGGCATGCAGCGCTATCTATCGGAAGAAAGCTCAACCATTATCGAGGCTTCAGCGGCTGTTCAGTTTTTGTCGTCACTCCCTGTTTGACCAGCTGCCGCTGAGTTAATGCGGATTTCAGCGCCGAGTGTAGAGGCGTTCCTCAACAAAAGGCAAAATCAAGCGTGGTTGAAACCACCGGGTCGGCACGTTGAGCGTTCAGTTTTTAGCTATTTGATAATAAGTTCGCGGGATAAATGACGATAAGAGGGGTTTTTTTTTATTGTATTTCAGCGAACACTACTGCCATATAGTTATTATAATGCACGCTAGAGGTTCAACTGGTGTTACTGTCTATGCGGCTTCCGGGATGCAGGTTGAAGGAGTCAGCTATCAGCCTGCTTTTGCGGTGCTCCTGTGCAATTCAGTGAAATTCAATGCATGCAATTCTGCCCCATTAATATGAAAACCGCAGTTCGGACAATAGACAGCTATTTTGGGGACGAATATACATGCAGGCATTTTTGCCTCCTCACTGTGAACACCAATATCCCAGTTAAAAAAGAAAAGTTCCAAAAATGCTTTTAAGAGATCAGCGCACCCAAGAAATTACTTCTTGGGTTCACTGATTTCTCGGGGGCGTTTGAGCAACTCGAGTTTCCATAATAACGGGGCAGAATTGCATGGCGAAAGATCGGTCCCCGGATAGTTCGTTCATAATGCATAATGGACGAAATTTTCGGATATTTTCCATAATGCACCTTGTTAATATGGACACCCCTTTCATATTAACGGGGTCCATATTAACGAGATTGGACTGTATACTAAAATGATCGTGTCGTGCAACTTTACGAGCGGTTAAAAACATTCATAACGTAAAAAATAAAGTACGTGGGTTGTGAAAGGTGTCTTATTTCTATTATTTGCTATGCCCGGCAGCTTTTATCGGGCACCCGTTTTCTGGCTTTTCCCCTTTTTCAAATGTTTGGAGCGCGTGGGTGGTGGTTCGGAACGTCGAACAAGCATCTTCGCACATATGCATGAGTAGAGAGAACAAAGCAATACTTATTTATTGCAGATTCGACTATATTACTTGACCCTGACTTTATTTTGATGATATACATGCACAGAGAGTTATTGATCCGGTGTTACTATACATAGTGCCTGCAATCTCCCTTGGTTTTCCAGGTGTCCTTCGTTCGTCTGGCACTTAAATCCTCCAAGCAGAAAAACGCCGACCACTTCTTCGCGCTAATAGTGTTCGACAGTGCACATAAACATATGCACGAAGCCGTTTCAGCTCTGTGTTGAATGCTATGAATTTAAAGAGAGAAAAAAAGACACCATAACTGGTTAATATGTTCATTTACGTGATTAGAAATGTTCCAAGTTATTTACTTTGTTATAATCATTTTGTAATATTTGTTCCTGTAGTCAAGCGCAGGGAAAACAATTACAGGAGGACGCTTAAGCATCGCTCCTTTAAGACTGGAATGCGAGTGTTGAAAATATAAACTAAGCCTGGTTCTCGAGCCGTGCAAGCATGTCTGAGTGGCCTAGTCTGTAGCGTTTCTGGCTCGCCACCGAAGGGTCGTGGATTCGAGTCCAGCCTAAAATTATTGAAATATTTCCCATTAGGCTAATAAATGATTTCATAAAATAAAATTATTCGAGACATGCAGCGACCTTTAATTCGCATTACGTGTCATATTTTTTTTAATCTCTTTCATTCCACGCGAGACGTCACGTTTTACGCAAGCGTTCTGATGTTTTTTTGTTTAGTTTTGATTTTCGCGCGAGGCCATGTGGCTTTGACGTCATTACCTTATCGACCAATCGGGATTTTGCCGTTTCACCGACGCCGGCATTTCTGCTACCCGCTTTTCTCCGTATAAATGCATTACCGGAAGCCAATGTTTGACTCGTTGCTGTCTGCTATACACTATAATAACTTTATGACTACTACTACTACTCCTATCGGAGTTGACTTCATAACCGTATGCCAAAAATACCGGGAGTAACGACAAAAAAAAAATGGAACAGGCGCTGAAATACTGCTATCTTGCACAATAGCCTCGTTGATAACTCAGCCTTCTTCCATTAGATAGCCCCAGGGAGGTCGTCGGAGCCACGCACTCTTGTTTGGGATTTCTACTATAGTTCGCGAGTGAACGTTCTTGCAAAGACTCGGAATTACGTACGACGCCCTTCGTTGATTCTGGAAGTGTTTTCAAAGATAGGTCGATTTGTTATAACTATATCTTGTCTGTAGTCACTGACAGTTTAAAAAAAAAAACGCAGGGTGTGGCTTGTTTAAGTTGATGCACCTCGCATCGTGATTGGTTCTTTGGCGCTATTATCGACTAGCGCAGCAATCTCATTGGCTGCGGAGCTATAATGAGATGCTCGGAAAAATCACCATTCTCTGCGTTTCTTTAGGGACGGATGGGTGGATAGATGTTAATGGCTATACCCTTTGTAACGGGCGGTAGCTTGCGCCACCTAGCAGTCAGAGACTACCATGTGGTCTATATTTCACAGGAAAAAATACACGCACACACAATGTTTGTTGGTTAATTCTGAGGCTGTTCGTCCGGAATGATCTCACAGGTTTGTTTGAAATTCCGAATTAGCAGACTAAGAGATAAAAAATGGTATAAAAAGAAAAAGGAAACAGTTCGGCTCTGACGAATCTGTCTGTCATTGATTGCCTCAAGTGCTACCGTAATATGAATTAATATTTCTTCTTAGTTTACCAATCAGTTGGCGATTTTCTCCTAGCTTATACAGCAGGAGACATCCCCTGCCGTATGCCCTTTGCTGTATGCCCGGACGTCCTGACTACTCGCGGCGAGACACACGCTAGGGGTGCAACAGTGCTCCTTGACGTGATCCTTTCCACTGTGTTTTCATCTTTATAGCGGATGCTTGCAAATGTAGAAGAAAAAAACAATAACTGAACACTGTAACCCTGGAACGTTTTGGGAAGGGGGATGGGGGACCCATTTTGTCTCTCCTAGCTATCCCGCCTCACACTCCAAAGTTAGAATGTCTACTTGATCTGCTCGCCTCTATAATCAGTTTGTCTCCGAGAAACTCTTAAGGTATCCTCATTTTGGGTTGCAAGCAACGTCTTCCCAGACGGTGATTCCCAAACTTCCAAGCATTAATGTCCAACACGGGCAGCTGGAAGCGCGAACAAAAAAAAACACGCCGAAGACACCTAAAAGTAGAAACGCGAAAGCATTCCTACACGCAGCGTATTCCTACAAGCAGCACGCCACGTCTTTTTGCACACGGCGCTCCGGCGGTAACATCACGCTCCCCCACTGCGCAGGCGCGGCGCCCCCCGCCTACTTCACGGCTTCCGTGACGAAGCATCTGCGTTACTGTGCTTTTCCTTGTGTTTTATTTCTGAAGCGCGTCCGCTTTGACCTTGAGCGCCCCATCGGCTTCACGGCTTCCGTGACGAAGCATCTGCGTTACTGTGCTTTTCCTTGTGTTTTATTTCTGAAGCGCGTCCGCTTTGACCTTGAGCGCCCCATCGGCTTCACGGCTTCCGTGACGAAGCATCTGCGTTGCTGTGCTTTTCTTTGTGTTATTTTTTCTGAGGCGTGTCCACTTTGACCTTGAGCTGCGTGTGCTTGATGGCGTATTTTTATGGCCATCTTTCGAGGACAACGCCTCAGAACACATTTTCGCGTAATGGTACATATACGACTTAGGCCTTAAAACCCGGAAACTTATTCCACTGCATAAGTTATACCCCTGTCAGAGTGGAAATTAAATGTCAGTTCCATCGAATGACATTTGAGCGATCGACGAATCAGCGCGCGATATCCCGGGCGTAGCGCATTCCACGTACGACAGATCGCGAGCCGATTCTCTGATCATACAAATGTCATTAGATGGAAATGGCATTTAATTTCCAGTCTGACAGGGGTATTACACTTCATTCACACTCCAAAGAAGAGTACAGTTAATGCTACAAGCGCGAGCAGCTAGCCCGCGCTCCTTAGTTTGAGATATGCATTGCTTACGCGAGCGCTCGTTCTGTGGAAGATCCTTTTAAAGCCGAGGTCTCGCGCTCTAGTATAGAGCGACTCCCCAGCTTTGAATACTTGGCACTTCGAAGAGGCCAAATGCGTCATTGGGCTCCGCAGAGTACGAGCTGCACTACAAGCGTCAACAGGGTTCTTGGGACCTGGTGCGAGTGGCACCACCCGCCTCGGTGCTCGGCGGCACTGCTCCAGCGCGGAGCAGCGTGGCGACAGTGTCAGCCTCGTGGAGCAACGGCACGAGGCTGACACACGAGCTGACGGGCCTGTTCTGCGGCACCCAGTACCACATATACCTCGTAGCCGTCGGCGACAAGGGAAAGAGCGATCCCAGCGACACCGTGTTCGCCAGGACCCAAGGAGGAGGTATACAATGGACGAGGAACGCCTAAGAGTCCAAAGTGTGCCTTTCAGGCCTTCACACCGCGGAAGGATAGATGTTCCTCTTGAAAGGGAACGACATTTCGGGTGGGAGCCTTGAAAATCAAGCAAGTTGATGATTGTTCAGCTTATAAGAAATGAGAAGGGGACATGCAGATTAACGATGGCAGTCGTCTCAGCTAAGAATTGTTGTGCGCATTTGTCTCCTTTTGTGTTTTCAGCTTTTGATTTATTTATTTCTCTTGAAATGTTTTCCTTTGGAATTTTAACGAATTTTAACATTTCTAGCAATTCGCTTTTTTTTCTGTTAATTACCTCGCGACACTATAAAATCAGGGGTCTGAAACACTCGGCCCGCGGGCCGCATGCGGCCCTTGACTTGTTCGGACGCAGCCCACGAGGATACCCCTGCGGCGAGCCCTCGTTCCCATATCTCGAGAGCTACGTTCGCCATAACTATTAATATCATGTCGTCGATTTTTTTTTTTTTTAAGTAGCTTTTCTCTTACAACGTGTGCGCATATTTTAATGGTCGCATTTCAGACGGATTATGTGCATTGACACGCAAGCTCATGTTTGCAACCGTGTCTTCACATTGAAGCTTCACGTGGTTTCCGAGAGAAAATATGATGAGGAATACGCGTCATTATCATTTACGTCGAAAAATGGGTATAATGATGGCTCCCATAAGGAGTCGTCCACGCACGCTTCTTCCGAGGAATCGCGCCAGGGGAAAATGTATTTGTTCTAACCATGAGCCGACCCGGCGCACTGCAGTGCCTCCGTCGCCGAAGCAAGATGCCTTCGTGTCCCCGAACGCGAGTTCCCTGACCCTGCGTCCGGGGGCCTGGTCGGGGGCCGGCTGCCCGGTGTCCCACCTGGCGGTGGAGTACCGGCTGCGGGACGGCAAGGGCCCCTGGCTGGTGGCGTCGAGGGCGCTGCAGCCGCGGGAGGGCCCCATGACGCTGCACCACCTCCGCCCGGACACCTGGTACAGCGTGCGGGTGACGGCACACAGCGAGGCCGGGCCCGCGGTCGCCGAGTACGCGGTGCGCACGCTGCCAGCGTCGGCCACGTTGGCCGGTAAGCACTCCCCAACACCAAAACCTTTTTTTTTTCATTTTAGTTTTGAATCGGGAATGTGTGTTAACGTCCCGTCAGTGGTTGTGGAGGGTGACGAGGTGAATTTTATTTTGCGTAGGCACGAATCGGCATGCTAGGGGGTGTTTTATCGGGTAGATGGTTTCCGGGGTTTTTATCTTCCTGTCTTTTGTTTGCTTGCCGCTTCGAGCAGGAGTAGAATGTTCAGTTGCCAGCAACGTTCCTAAAACACTCAGTTGAGAAACTCACCCTAGAAATCTCGAGAGATCGCCGTCCACCGAGGCCAAACTATATACGATAACAGCGCCGCTTTTTAGGGACGAGTCAAAACATGAAAGTTTTTCTTATATAGCTGCTGCAAAATGGTGCTATTTGCCCTTGCGCGACTCGACCTGAACTGGAGTGAGAAACCCGAAACTCCCAGGCTCAATGAAGCCAAAATGGCGGCTCAATTCTTTTTCCTGTGGGTATTACGATCGTTTAGAAAGCACATTTTCCGTAAAAACAAACGGAAAAGCTCTTTTGGGAGGAACTTTTATTGAAGATTAGTACAGAATGACAGGCTCGTCATGTTTCCTGAAATCTGTAGTTTGCTAGGTTTTGCGGCAAAATTAATATTGTTTTTATAGCACCATGCCTCACCGGTAATTTCAGGTAGTGCGTTTCGACCTGGGCACGTCCTAACTTCGGTGGTAATTCGCGGCGCGGCCGCATGGGAGACGGGGGTTGGCATCTCTGAAACCCCTTGCACCGTATATGTTTCGACGCCAAAATGGCCGATTAAAGTTAAAATGGAACAGTCACAGCGGATGCTATCCAATGTGTTACTCCCGAACCATTACAAGCAGCCGTGCAGTTCCCGGAGTGACCGCTGCGGGAGGAATGGCGGCGTTGCTATCGCCTTTACTTCGCTGCTCTTGTACGGATCGTAGCCACTTTTTCAAAGCAGGCTCGATGGCAGTTTCCCAGCTCATTTGTTCAACACTGGGTGTATCAAGGAGCGACCAGGCTCTTTAAATCGACCGCAAAATTCGGTTTCTTAACCTATCGCGTTCCGATTTTGTATAGCGTTGGCCGCAGGTGGTGCCTTTTTTCTATAAAATTCGCAAAAAGCGAGCTTACCCAAGGAAAAAGTAAAAAAAAAAAGAAATAGGCAATTTTGCGGTCGATTTAAAGAGCCTGGCCGCTCCTTGACACACGCAGTAGTAACGTTGGATGCCAGTAAGCGCTGCGTTTGCGTGCCTCTTCTCTACTCTGTTTCATCCCAAGTCCGACCCACGCTACGATTCAATGAAGTCAATTGAGCAGCGTTAAATGATAATTGTCACGGCGCTCGTCGTTTCTGTGTGTCTCTTATCCCCGGCTCAGCCATTCACGCACAGTGGATGCGCCCTGATCCTGGGCCCGCTTTATTGCACGTGATTGGTCTAGGGTCTAGGCGGATAGCCAACGCTCAAAGGCAACAAGCGCCGTGACGATACACTTTATGCGCTGCTCGAAAACAAAACAGGCAAATAAAAAACACTAAGGAAGGGAGCATAAATGGAGGCAGAGAGAAATTCTAGCGTAGGTGCTCCGAAAGTTTCACAGAGACGGAAGGGCACAAAAAGAAAAAGCCAAAAAGGTTTCGATAATTTCTCTGTTGGTCATATCTGAGAAAGGCCTGAATTTCCTATCGATAGGGACTTTAATAGTTGAGTTTCAACTAAGTTCGCACACAGATGGTTGAGCTGTAAGCGTTGTAACCCACACTTGAAACGGCGGCAGTGCTGTACCAGAGCAGTGGTGTATTGTATATTAAAATGAGCACCCTCAGTTTGTCGGCTCATAGACTTCGACTTCGCATGTTGACCGACGCAGCAACTGCACTCAGCTTGCACCTGCAACCGTAGTCAGGGTGGCCGAGCGCGTGTTTGCGACTTTCATCTGGAAATCTTCAGAGCCCATGAGACGCGATAATATGTGTTATCGTGTGATGGGGAACTGGGGCTATCGTATTTGTTTGGGCGACAGTTGGTGTCACGTTTCGTTTTCTAGGCGATCACAAGCACCCTTCATACGCGCGTTCATTCAAACAAAATTGTCCCCGCGTTTTCCGTCCTTTCTTGAGCCGTCTTGTGGCGGCGAGTCATCACGACTTTTCGGGTTCCCGAAAGAGGCTGTCGATGCCCTGGACTTTTTGAATGCGTGTTTTTCGTTCAAGTGCCTTTCGGTTGTAAGCAAGGAGATGTTAACGCGCGAATTGTTCCGTGCGACAGAATACATTGAAGAAAGAGTTATGCATAACCCCATCAGGCATACGTTATTTATTTATTTATTATTTTTTTTAATTTTATTTTGTTTATTTATTTACCCCAGGGCTCTTTCCGGCGCTTCGTAGGGGGGAATTCATATACAAATTACAGATTGACAGTATTAGAAAAAATGTATGCACCTAAATTATTACAAAAATACAGTACAAAGCACACACACGACATGCTGCATGATTGTGACATAACTGTAACAAGTATAACAGTGACTATGCATTTTGTGAGAGAAAAGATATCGGGAGATTTAAAAATTTTGATAATGCCGTATTATATTGCAACGGCAGTATTATACGGCAAGGCATTCCACTCGGTGATAACGAGTACAATGGGAGAATATTTATATAGATTTGTGCGTGCAAATAGCGGGTTCACCTTGTTGGGATGGTCTATGCGAGGAGATGTACGGTTAGCTGTCACAACGTGCGTCTGACGGAAAGGCGAAGAGTTATATATCTTATAGAATAAAGAGAAACGTGCGATCCGCCTTCTGCTTTTTAGAGAGGCCAAATTTTGGGAGTCACTTATGCTTGTTATACTGCTGGTATTAAAATAGTCGGGTGCAATAAACCGGGCTGCTTTATTTTAAAAAGACTCTAATTTATTTATTAAAGAGGTTTGATGGGCATTCTAAATGACTGGCGCATATTCTAGTTTGCTTCTAACTAGGGACGCATCGCATATCAGTATTGTGTTAGTGTCAGATAAGAATAAGCTTCTTGGCAGGAAACCCAGAGTTTGGTTAGCATCACGTAGAATAGATTTAATGTGAAGTTTCCAAGATAAATCTGATGTAAGATGAACACCTAAATGATCAAATGTTTGTACTTTTCCTATCTCTGCGTCGTTAATTTTATAGATATGCTCAGGGTTTTTTTACTTTTGTAGTAAAAGTCATCTGTTTGGGTTTTTCTATATTGATCTTAATCTGCCAATGAATACACCATGTTGAAATTTTGTTAAGGTCTGCTTGTATCATGGTTTGATCAAAAGGAGAAATTATGGTCCGGTAAATTATGCAATCATCCGCAAAAAGCCAAATAGTTGACTGAATGTTTTCGTCAATATCATTAATATAGATTAGAACAAGACGCGGTCCAAATGCAGATCCCCGTGGAACACCTGAGTTTACGGATATTGGTGGGGAAATGATTTTTTCTATAACAACACACTGAAACCTGTTTGACAAAAAGTTTGTAATCAATTTAATGACACCCGTCTCAATATTAACATCGGTTAGCTTCTTTGTTAATCTTCAACGCCGAACACAATCGAAAGCTTTACGAAGTTCTGTGAATAGTGCGTGTATTTCGTTTTTTTTTAGGAATGTCAGCAATTAGCTCGAAAAGCTGGAGTTCACAGAAACGTCCTCATTGAAAACCATGCTGTTTTGGAAAAAGAATGTTGTTTATTACGAGATAATTTAAAGTTTGAGAAAAAATTATCTGTTCAAGCAATTTGCATGGCACGCAAACGAGAGAAATGGGTCTGTGCATCGAGAGAGGGTTGCGATTGCTAGATTTGAAGATAGGGATGACATGGGCCAGTTTTCAATCATCGAGTAGGATCCCGGTAAAGAGTGACTTATAAAAAAGGGCTGCTAT